CCTGGGGGGTGATTTCTCATTTTCTATCTCTCTGTCTCTGTCTTTCTGGTGAGCACATGTACCCTATAGCAAAAACCTCCCCCCCAAACAAAATTTTATTTCTTCCATGAACTAGAGAGACAGAGAAAAACAGAGAAAGCACTCCCAACGGGATCTCAATGCTGAAATTCATCCTCAGCCTCAGATCCCGAGATTACAGACATGTGCATACCCGGCATATTCAGGGAGGTCTTCAGACTTGAACCTGCCCACCTAGGACTGCTTCAAAGAGCAGCACATTTTGCCACTGTGCCACTCTGTGACCCCAGAAATTGTCTTTTCTAAACAATTTAAATGTGGACTTTTTTTTTAAAGGTTTTTGTCACAGATGCGTGCGCTAGAAAGAGACAGAGAAAAGGAAAGTGAGAAATCACCCTCTCCTGGGGGGGGATGGCCATGCTGCAATCCCTTCTTTTCCATTCTCCTCTTAGGATTTTGAGCATGCGTACACACATGCCTGGCGTGATTTTCAAGTGTTTAGGTCCAAGACTCAAACCACTGTCAGCCATGTGGGAGTCCAACACCTTAACCACCATGCCACCTGTTGGACCCTAAATGTGCACAATCTTTGAGCCTGTTATTCTAAGAATTTAGCCTAATAATAGTAAATTTTCTCAAAAACTTCTATGTTCATCTGGGTATTTTTAAAATAGAAAAAATTAAGCAGGGTCCAGCAGGTAGCATACTGGGGCACTGGACTTCCACATGGGCACTGGACTCCCACTGCAATTTGAGTCCTGGACCTGGTGGCTTGCTTTCTCAGTTTCTCTCTTTCTCTTTCTCTCTCTCTGGTGAGCACATGTGCCCTATAGCAAATCAAAGAGAAAAAAAAAACCTAAATAAATAATGCTTTAAAAAAAGGAAAAAGAAAAGCGAACAGCTTAATGTCTAACAAGGGATCAGTTAAATAAGCTACATTAAGTCCACACAACTGAACATTAAACAAAAGTTAAATATTATTGGCATATAGGGACCAGCAGGTGGCGTGGTGGTTAAGGCGCTGGACACTTCCACATGGTCAACCAGGGTTCAAGTCGTGAATCTGGTGGCTTGCTTTCTCACTTCCTCTCTTTCTCACTCTCAACCTCTGTCTCTCTCTGGTCAAACTAAAAAAATAAATGAATGAATAAATAAAATTTAAAAAATATTATAGGCATATAAAAATCTCAAGATAGGGGCCAGCAGATTGCATGGCGGTTGGGGCACTGGACACCCACATGGCCAACTGCAGTTCGTGTCCTGGGCCTGGCGGCTTGCTCTCTTACCCTTTCTTTCTCTCTGTCTTATAGGCACATGCTCTATAGCAAATTGGAAAAAAAATTAATTAAAAAAAAAATCTCAAGATATATTTTTGAAAGTCTTCCACTATGAGAGTGCGAACTCCACTAGCTATGCTTACTGATCTATCATCACTACCCAGAATAATGCCCAGCACACAGAGGATACTGAGTATCTATAAATGAGTGAAATTTTAACATAGGGCTAAAAAAACCAGAAACCGCGTATTTAAAAATATATTTCTAAATGTATACACAGACCTATAAAATATATACAAATAGATTACATAAAATTTGCATGTATATTATATAATTTTAGAAAAACAGAAGAAAAGAAGAGACCAAAATGTTTCAGGTAGTTCTTTTTGCATGATGTAGTTATACGCAATTCTTCTCCTTTTTCTTTTTGTATTTTACAAGTTTTCCCTCACTTTTATAATCAAGATGCAAAACTGTATGGCCAATAGGGAGGGGGCAAATAGTGGCACAGTGGTCAAGTTCAATGCTTGGGGACCAGCAGATAGCGTAATAGCTATGTCGCTGGACTCCCATGTAGTTGAGCGCAGTTCAAGTCCTGAACCTGGTGGCTTAAACTCACACCAGGCACGTGTGTGTGCATGCCCAAGATCCTGAGAGGAGAATGGAGAAGGGATTGCGGCATGGCCATCCTCCCCGGGGGGGTGGGGGTGGGGTGCAGTGGTGATTTCTCACTTTCTGTCTCTCTCTCTCTCTCTGTCCTTCTGGCAAGCGCACATGCCCCATAGCAAAAAACCTCTCCAAAACAACAACAACAACAAAACACCAAAAAACAAAAAACAAATTCAATGCTCTGGAGGCTTAACTACCTAGAAAGGTTCTGAGTTTAAGTCTGTAGATTTCCCTGACTGTGCTAGGTACATGTGGGCCCATGATCTGGGGCTGGATGAAGCTGGGGGGTGGATCACTATTGTCAAGACCTTATTGGGGTTGCTATATTTCTCTCGATCTCTTTGTATGTCTAATGGAAGACAAAAATGGAAGGAAAAGAAAAAAGGCAACTTCTCAAAACACAGACTCATTTCTATAGAAGTTTGTCCTAGAATGTTTCTCACCCCTCTGTTCTCTGGCTCTGGTCTCTGTCCTTGAGGACGGGGAGGGGTCTTCTCTCTGAAACAGAAATGATGTAAAATATGCTTATTACAAAATGCTTTGAGTTGCACCCTGGGAAGATTAGCTCTTCACCAACAGGATCAGGACTACAGCCTTCTTTCCTACCCAGTATATGAATTATGCCAAATTAAATTGGCTTGTTATGAGATAATCTACTCCTCTCACAGAGACCCGGATCCAGTCTGGTTATGAATGACAGACAGATGCCTTCCCTGGGCCTGGATGACACCAGGGTCATGGGCCCAAACAGGGTAGCTTGTAAGTAGAGAGGGCTAGAATTCAGGTTCTCTCTGATGTGTCCAAAGTAACTTCACCTCTTGGGCAAGTACCCTTTTTTAATTTTCTATAGTGCACATGCACTCTCTAGAAAGAGAGAAAGTGAGAAATCAACCTTTCCCACCAAGGGGGAATGGCCACATCATAATCCCTTTCCCACTCTCTTTTCAGGATTTTGGCCATGCATACACACCCAGTGTGTTTTCACGCTGGATTCAAAACTCAAACTGTATAGTTGGCCATGTGGCATTCAGCTCCCTTAACCCCCCACATCACCTAGTTGCTCCACAACCATGCTATTTTCTAGCCTATGGGTCTCCACCCACTTCACCTCATCATTCATTCCACAGATGCTCACCTGAAGGCTTATTACACAGCAGGTACTATGCAGAATGCAACCAATACTAAGACTGGAAATATTTCCTACTCTTGAGGTATGCATGGTTTCAAGGGAGATAAAACCAATCATAATACAGTGCAGGAAGGGACTCCTTTAATAAGTCTGTGGTGGGAAGAGGGGTGAGAGCAACTAATATGGGGAAGACAGACATTTCAAGGTGATTTTGGGGCTACTCATAGAAGAGGAGCAAAAATTAGAGAAGAAAGCAGAGGTGGAGGTGGTTTGAAAGGGACTGGGAAAGGCAGAAGAGGCAGAGGAGAGAGTAAAGGCTGGTGAATGTCAAGAGGCAAGTCCCTTTAAGAAAAATTAAATATGTCTAGTGCACAGGATATGCTGGGGTGGGATAGGAGAAGGTAAGTGATGCTTCCAGAGATGTTGCAGGGTGCTGTACTTGTGTTTGTATAATGCTGCACCCACCGACCACTGCCATTTCTAGAACTCTCTAACTCTACAGAGCCACTCAGACCCCCCGTTTCCTCTCCTCTGATACTTTATACATCACTGCTATAGCAATCCTATTCCCTGGAATCTCTCCTGCCATACATCTTACTCCTGGGCTGCAGGAAGTGCTTCTTCACAGTGCTCTGTACACTTGCAATTGTGATGTCTTGTACACTGCTGGATCACCAGGCCCCACACGCTGCCTGCCCACTAGCAGACGACACTCAGTGGGTATCCGTATACAGCCCAGCAAGTGGTAGTTCTACTCCCTGGCTTACTCCCATTTGGGTCAGAATGTCTCAACGCCAAGGCGATAATCAAGCACTAAAGTAAAGGGTGAGGTGAGGGAATGTTGAATGGAAATACATTTGTGGCTAAGGAGAGGAGTGTGAGAGGCACTCCAAGTCCTCACCTGGGATCCTGTTGCCCAGTGCTGCCCCTGCCGTAGAGTGGGATGACCTTGTCTCGGCTGATACCAGCTTTGCAAACTGGACACACCTGTCTGTTAGGTCTTGTTTCCAACCACTGCAATAACAAGAGAAAAACGCATGAGTGGTCCACCATAGAGAGGACAGTGAGAACAGCAAGATAATACACATCAGAGGCCTCAAACTGGGAAACACCTCAAGGAACCTAATTCTCTAATTCATGCTCTTCCCATGCAGTAAATATTTACTAATGTGAAATCAAAATTGCCTTTAAATACTACCGTCATTAAACAGGCTTTTTCATGCTTTGTTTTTCTCTAGGGGCTCCTAGCAACACAGTAGGAAGGAACTGCAAGCCCGGGGCTATCAAGGGTGGGTATAATGAACTTCAGATCTACATTGTCCCAGAGGATCAACTATATTATCCTGTCAGTCATATTTTTCTTTCTGTGATTTCTTGTTTTATAGTATTTCTTCAGCAACTGTGTATCTGAGACACAAGCATGTGGACGTAAGCTGTTCATTCTCTGGTGACTTACTATTTGCTCATTATCTGAACTTGCTTAATTTTTTTAAATGTTGATTCATTGATCTCAGAATCTTGCTTTGCATTTCCTAGGCCCTTTCCCTGTTATATTAAAAAAAACATTTTATTATTTTTTTAAAGAGATTTTTGTAATAGGGCATGTGTGCTTGCTGGAGAAACAAAGAGAGACAGAGACAGAAAGCAAGGAATCCCCCTCTATGTGGGATGGCCATGCCACAATCCCTTCTCCTCCATTCTTCTCTCAGGATCTGGGGCACACATGCACACATGCCTGCTGTGAGTCTTAGGACACCAGGTCCGGGACTCATACCATGGTCAACTATGTGAGGGTCTAGTGACATAACCATTATGCTATCTGTTGGTCCCTTATTAAAAAATTTTAACTTTCATTATTTCAAAGTAAAAATGCTAAAAGAATGTCACCTGTAAATGTCTTTATAGGCATCAGTTAACTTTTCTCAAACTGCACCTTTAGACCCAATGGTATGAAGTCTATTATATAAATGTGAATCTAGGGCCGGCAGGTAGTACAGTGGTTCAGGGCACTGGACTCCCACAGACCGACAGCGGTTTGAGTCCCAGACCTGGTGGCTTTGCTTCTTCCTTTCTCTCTCACACTTTTTTTTTCTTTCTCTCTCTCTTTTGCTCTGTCCCTCACTGGTCAAATTAAAATAAGTAAATTAATTCTTTAAAAATATATATATAAATGTGAATCTAGGACCTCAGGGCTGAGAAAACAGCAGCATTTAATGACTTTACATCCTACTTTACCTCTGTTGATGGTTCCAAAATATACATATTATACGCTCTTCATAAACTCACAGTCAATGTGTTCTACCACGCTCCACTGGGGTCAGAATGTGCAACCCTTTCTCTCATCCAGAGTCTGAGACTCCAGCAGTCTGGAACCTCTGCCCTCCCTCTTATTCCTAAGTCATTTACGAGTGTGCTGCTCTACTGCTGAGTACCACGGTGACAGGTGGCAGTGACTGTCCAGGTCCAGCTCTATCTCATCAAATGGGCATACTGGATCTTAGACTATACTAACTGGTCTACATAATAAGCTCATGCTAAGAAAACAGATGTTTTTGTCCTCATAAAAGTTCTCTACTGATATAAGTTTTCTCTGAACATTTTCAAGATTTTTAAGGGTTGGGGGAATTGGCAATAGGATGAGGTACTTTTTGTAGAGGCAGAATCTCAAAAATAAAAGGACCTAACATACTATCAAATCCAACCCAATTTACAAATAAATCGAGATCCAGAGCGGTGGTGGCCTGCCAAGGTCACAAAAGCTATTGGTGGCATAGGCAAGGCTACCCCCAAGTACAACACTGATGCCTTATTTCATCAAGTGCCTGTCAGTAGGCAAATCTGTAAGGAGGGTTGGGGGTAAGCAAGCAAATGAGCCCACAAGCAGGGGAGATTGCAGCTTCTGACAGCAGTCTCCAGAGAACAGCGCTGTCTTGTGCAACCACAGCTGATGAAAGACAAAGTAAAATGAAATGCATCTTACCTGATGTAAACACGGCCAACTGCCAGAGTCCCCAAGGCAACCAGTCACGGAGGAGGAGAAAGGGGGAAAGGAAGAAGAATGCTTTCATTAGCAGAAACACTTGACGGGGGCGGCAGCAGCTGTATGGGAAAACTGGCTGCTGCGCTATACCGAGGTTCTGTGGGGACTACTGGTGTCAAAAATCAGAAAAGACTAGGCTAAAATTACGGGGAAAATGATGCAATGAAGACCCTGGCCTATGCCTCTGGGATCCCACTACACGTGTTGACCCCCAGGACCCAGACCACACAGACCCAGCTTCTCTACATTAACTTCTGAAAGGTTATAGCCTCTGAAGGAACCCGACAAACGATAAAGATTCTCTGGTGCAGAAAAACTCATGGGGTAGCATTTGCACGCATGTGCCCATGCACGTGGGCTTAGGGCTTTCTCAGGCACTGAAAGGTTATAGCCTCTGAAGGAACCCGACAAACGATAAAGATTCTCTGGTGCAGAAAAACTCATGGGGGCATTTGCACACATGTGCACATGCGTGTGGGCTTAGGGCTTCCTCAGGCACCCAGGGATATGTGGGTACCCAGGTAGTCCAGTTCCAGTTTAACAGAATCTTCAGGCTGTTCTCAACTTCGAAAACTCTGTTGGCACGAAGGAGATTAAAAGTTCAAATTTCCTCTAAAACATCTTTAAATAATAGAAAAATGGGGATGTTACTCAGCAGAAGGGGTACCTTCAGTTTAGAGAGTAGCTGTCCAATCTCTAATTTTTCTTATGAGGGTACAAAAATCAAGGCTCAGAAATAAGAAATAAAGATTTGCATCAGGACTAAAAAATAAGTCTCCTGTCTGCTAGTTCACAGCCTTTCTGCCACCCAGCATTGAATGTAAAAAATGACATTCACAGAGTTGAAGGAAGTTACTCAACTCCAGATTGTCAGTTTTTCTTTCTTTCACTCATTTAACAAATACCCACTCTGCACCGATTATGTACTAGGACAGTGGAAAGTGCAGAGTTGGCTTCTGCTCCCCACACACCATCTGTCTTCTTCAGCTGAGTAATCCTTGGACTTAGGAGGATAGTTCCTTTTCCAATTCCTGAATCAGAGTTCAGCTTCACGAACCAAATACACATTCTTCCTTAGAACCAACAGAGACCTCACATCTGACTGACATTAACCTTGAGACCCATTGTAAAGTGAGTGGAGAGCACTCCAAATCATGGCAGATTTCCTCTGGTAACTTCCCTCAAAGGCTGTGGGGAAGTAGGACTGACTGAATGAGCCTCAAAAAAAGTTTCAGGGTTATAAAAATGATGGTGATTCCTCCCACTTATTAAACAACTACTGTGCACTAGGCTGAGGCCGAATAGTTTTTCATGTGCTAACATCACTGGATAGTCATATTAACCAACAAGGGGGTACAATTATCCCCATTTTACAGAGGAGGAAACTGACGTAGAGAAGACCGCAGGTTTGCCTGGGAAGACAACATCCAGACTGCAAGAATCTATTTATCTTAGAGTTTGTATTCTTTCCAATGGTATTCTGCCTCCTCTTAATTTTGTCATTTCAAATCCTGGTTTTATTATACCCTAAAGTATTTCCAATTTCTAGGAAAGAGCTGATCACAACAGTTTCTACATAAAACGGCAATTAGCACAAGAACCTCTAGAACGAAAATCTCTGTTCCATTCTATTCATTCACCAATACATTTATCTTTTACCCTGTTGTCAACTTAAACTCTCCTATTGCTCAAAAAACCCTTTCTTCACAATGTCTCTCTGCTCAAAAATATTCATTAGCTCTATTACTTTCAGTTAAGCATGATCTGCCGTGGGGTGGCATATACCCTCATGTTTGTTTATTTTTTGTTTTTTAATAAGCCAGAGGTGTTTTTACTTACCAGAGAGACAGAGGGAAAGGAGGGACAAGCACCCCCAGGGGGGCACGGTCCTATCACAGCCCCTTTCCTCCATTTCTCTATCTGATCAATATTTGGGGCATGCACATACATATGCCTGGCATAGTTTTCAAGGTGCCAGGTCTGGGATTTGAACCATGTGGTTGCTCATGTGGAATCCAATTCCCTTAGCCCTCAGGCCATGGGGACTGGCCCACAAACCCTTCATCTTACCTGGTACTTTCCATATTCCCAAACCACAGTTTAGCTTCACAAAACAGATACACAATCTTCCCTGGACACTACACATGTCTCACATTTGACTGATGTCAACGTTGAGACACCATTCTTAACCGAGTGGAGAGCACCCACTACTTACTCAAACTAACCTTTGAAATTTAGCTTAAAATCTCAAGAGGAGGGATCAGCAGATGGTGTAATAGTTATGTTGCTGGACTCCCACATGGTCAACCATGGTTCAAGTCCTGGAGCTGGTGGTTTGAAACTCACACTGGGGCGTGTACATGCGTGCCCAAAATCACAAGAGGAGACTGGAGGAGAAGGGATTGCGGCATGGTCATCCCCCGTGGGGGGTGATCTCAGTTTCTGTCTCTGCCTCTCTGGCAAGTGCACATGCACAGTAGCAAAAATCTCTTTAAAAAAAAATCTCAGCAGGTGGCATAGTGGTTAAGGTGCTGGACATTCCCACATGGCCAACTGCCATTTGAATCCCGGACCTGGTGGCTTGCTCTCTCACTTTCTTTCTCTCTCCCTCTCTCTGGTCAAATTAAAATCAATAAAATTAAATAAATAATTCTTAAAAAATAATAGTTTAAAAATCTCAGAACCAGCAGATGGTGTAATGGCTATGTTGCTGGATTCCCACATAGTCAACTGTGGCTTGAGTCCCAGGCCTGGCGGCTTGAACTCATGCCGGGCTCGTGTGTATGTGTGCCCAAGATCCTGAGAAGAGAATGGAGGAGAAGGGATTGCGGCGTGGCCATCTCCCTGGGGGGTGACTTCTCGCTTTCTGTCTCTTTCTGTCTCTCTGTCTTTCTGGCAAGTGCACACACCCTAAAGCAAAAACCTCTCAAAAAAAAAAAAAAAAACCAAACCAAAATGAAAACCTCAAGAGGAAAAAACAAAAACAAAAAAATACCACCAACGAAAAAATTCAATATTCACCCAGGTCCTCTGAGCCAGGAGAGGCTTCTGTAACCATCAAGGCTGGAATAGACACTGGCCACTCCAGTTTTATATACATACAAGTACGTAAAATAAAACAATTATTATGGTTATAGCTAACACACAATATTTACTGCAAATTAAGCCTTTTACACATTCCGAGTCATTTAATGCTCCTAAACAATTCTGTAAAATGAGGCAGTGTATAAGCACCTTGTCCGACGTCATTCAGTAGGCAAGTGGCAATCAAAATTCAGAAAAAGGCAAACAAATTCTAAAGGACCTGGCTCCACAGTCCTTACTCATAACAAACCACAAATCCTGTGATTAGACTCATCACAGCACATGGCCTGTAGTAAGTGCTCACTAAGTGGTGTGTGCTATTACTTTAGAGATGGAGCGAAGGAGCCCAGGGTGGACAAGATCTGCCCAAAGTCAGTCAGTTTCTCAGTGGCAGAGCCAGGATGGGAATTCAGGTCTGCTGCTCGTTGGATCTGAGTGTATCAGAACCTAAAGCGGGCAGGAAGTTTCTGCTCCAAACCTGCCCAGGGCCACAGGCTTCCCAACTTGGCAATGTGTCTTGTGAAGCAACAGCAGGGGTACTGACCAGAAGAGGTGGCCACACAGGCTGATGACAGCATCCTTGGCTGTATCCAGGCAGATGTTGCACTCAAAGGTGCTGTCCTGCCCTCCACTCTCCCCAGTGCCGTTGCTGCTTCCGCTGGCACCCCCTGCACTGGAATTCTCAGGGGATGCAGAGGCCGAGGGCCCCTTGCTCGCCATCCTTGGCTGTCAGCTAAGGTCTCAGTGAAGATTCTCCTCAGGGAAATCCTGTAAGATAGAGAGCCCTTCATTGCCCATTTCTGCATCCCGCTGCCCCAACTTCCATGCCAACACTCCCATCTTTTCTCAGTTCCAGGGGCTGGTTATGACTGAAACCCTGAGCAGACCTCCCAGATGGCTGCCAAGGATGACACTGGGGTACCACCCAGAGGGCAATGACTCAGAACATCAATGAACATGACCCAGAACACATGAGAGTACTTCAAAAAGTTAATAGAATGGAAAAGTACGAGTTCATTCTCCCATGGTAATCAACCCAGATGATAAGTATATGTTCAACTAAAGATAGAAAGATAGAGGAGGGACCAGCAGTTAGCGTAATGGCTATGTCGCTGGACTCCCATGTAATCGACCGTGGTTCACGTCCCAGACCCGGTGACTTAAAACTCACGCCAGGCATGTGTGTTTTTTTTTTTTTTCTTGCTATAGGGTGCATGCACTTGCCAGAAAGACAGAGAGACAAAGAGACAGAAAGCAAGAAATAACTCCCCTGGGGGGATGGCCACACCATAGTCCCTTCTCCTCCATTCTCCTCTCAGGATCTTGGGCACGCACACACACACGAGCCCGGCGTGAGTCTAAGCCACCGGGTCCAGGACGCAAACCAAGGTCGACTACATGGGAGTCCAGTGACATAGCCATTACGCCAACTGCTGGTCCCAGTGGAAAGATATTTTAAATTCACTAATTCAGGGGCCAGCAGGTGGCATGGTGGTTAAGGTGCTGGACATTTCTATGTGGCCAATCACGGTTTGAGTTCTGAACGTGGTGGCTTGCTTTCATATTTTCTCCTCTCTCTCTCTGGTCAAATTAAAATAAATGAATAAATAAAATTAGACAAATGTATATTTTTAAATTCACTAATTCATTTACTAATTAACGATTAGGATCTATTAAACATTCAGGCTGTCCTCTAACTTTGGGCAGTATCTATATTGGTGGGTGAATCTCCTCAGGCAGGAAGGTTGTGATCGATACATGACAGAATATAAAGAAATTCTCGTAACTGTGAAAGATTGGGAAGTTAGGGAGGACCAGAAAGGTCATATGGACCAAGGCCTCCACACTCTAACATGTTTCATTCTCCTTCTGCTTTGTTGAAACACCATCTACCATATTTTGTGTAAACTTTAATACAATTAAATAAGAGGTTACATCAGTTCTGTAAGTGGAAAATCAGTTATTACTAACCATAAATGAAAGATAAATATACACCTAATGGAGAAAAATGTGCTTATCCTCATGCTACCTGAAATCATCTGACACACTCATACTATGCTTTGGACAATCTTTATCTGGTCCAATCTCTTCAGGAAAATGTAGCTTGAGTTAGCTTAAGCTCCCTGACTAATGTGGAGCTGAGATGGAGATTTGCGACATCTTTTTGTGTTGAAACCACTGCATCACCACAGGCCAAGCTGGCCACCAAATGCCAGTACAAACACACTACTATCGACTAACACCTCTACGTCAAAGGTTCGAACCCAGGCAGGAGCTGAATAAGGAAGAGGAAACCAATACTAAGGGATACCCAGAATTCTGGGTGTACATTAACAATCTGTCAAGAGGGAACAGGCAGGTAGTGTGGTGTTTGAGGCACTGGACTCGTACATGGCCAACCATAGTTCGAGTCCTTGACCTGGTGGCTTACTTTCTCACTTTCTCTCTATGGTCAAACTTAATAATAATAATAATAAATAAAGTTAAATCATTATTTTTTAAAATGTATCTGTTAAGAGACCCATTTGCAGTGGCACAGGGCACCGCTGCATGATGCTGGAGCCACATGGGAGACCTGAATTCAGATCCCACCAACCTGGACACTCAGCATATGCCCATGTATATCTGTGACCCTGGATGGTTGAAAGGCTAGGCTAGAGCAGGGTTGCAGCATGTGGGTACCTTTCGCTTGGAAAAAAAATTATTTTAACTTTAGACCAAAATACCTATTTTTAAAAAAGAATCAGAGCTTGACCTGGCTCTCCCTCATAGCCTTCTAAGCAGGACATACTGGCTGGCTACCAGTCTCAGTCCGGAGCTGAGACTTGTGACACCTTTTTGTGTTGAAACCACCGTATCACCACAGACCAGGCTGGCCACTAAATGCCAGCACAAACACACTACTGTTCGGCCTCTAGGCAGAACTAGAGGCTTGGTTGCTGGTCTCAGGCCATTATCCAGCTTGCTAGATAGTTTTGGGAAACTCCCTCCCTTTCTCCTGGTCATAGTGTTTTCATCTATAAAATGAGGCACTGGACTACATGGTCTCGCAGGGGCCCCTTTCCAGCTCTTAGACTGTGCTGCTCAGGTTATCTCACCCACATCTCCAAAACAGGCAGCTATAAGAACTCACCGCAGGAGCACCTGAAGACCACGCCGATTTATTTCAACTTCCAAAGTACAAGGAGATAAGGACCACAAAGCTGCAGTCTTCTTAGACTAAGAAACCTTCCTTCCTTCACACCGTGGACTCAGAGCTCCAGGCTCATGAACATCCCTCACCACGACAGCGGCTCAGTGACTTGAGCAGGGAGAGGAGGCCGGCTCACCACCACTTTTCACTCAGTTACATCATTTTACGTAATGTCCCAGAAGGGCGGCTGGCTGCTGGCAGCACCAGTGCCTTGCTGGCCTTGGCTCCAAGACCTTCCCCCCACCCAGGTTCCCTTCTCTCCACTTACATCTGCTCTTTTTGTCTTGGTGAAGCCTGCTTTTGAGGGCTGCACTAAGGCCTCTCTTCCCCATTTCAGTTCAAGTACCCTAAGTCCTGACCCTTATGTATTTAATAAATACATATATATATCTTTTTAAATGATGAACTAGGTACACAGATGTGGAAAGATGATCAATAAAGTCAGATTCACCTATCAAACTTAAAGGTAGCCTACAGATGTGATGCAATAGGATGTATACAGCATCAACAAGGAAGCTTTTACAAAAAATTTTTTGTCTTGAAACTTAGATTCTAATCAAGACTCTAAGATAAATTACCTGTTCATAGAAAACACAGAGGATAGGTATATT